AACCCACCCATGTTTATGTGCCAAAAGTGCCACCTGGGAAGAATTTAGGTCTGTGGGTCCAGGTGAGCAATCCCCATGAAAATCCTTCTTTACTTGTCGTGAGACTGAGAATCCTGAGCCATGTCAAGTTACTGCTTCTAAAACTCGTTAGACACATAAAGTGCTGCTGCTCTGCTTTCCTGTGCTGGCATCGTTTTGACACTGTGGAGCATTTAAATGCCTGATCTTTGTCTTTGAAAAATAACCATATATTGCCTTTAAGAACAAGCGCTAATCCAGTAGATGCCATGAGCATCACTCACGTGGGTAGCATTGAATTCAGCACGTAATAAAGCAGTTGAGATTACATCCCTTCAAAAACATGCCAAGTCATGGGATTCTGCTACTGCTCGCCAGTGTTTCTGAGTTTCTAAATCTTTATGCTTATATTCAGTGACCCGTCATTGGTGGTGCCTGCTCTTTTAGCCCCTATCAGTGTCTCTCACTGAGTACATTGCTGTTTCATCACACTGAATTAACCCTCTGGCTGTAGAAGGATTGCATCCAGGTGTTTGGCTTCCATGAGCAGATGTTCTTATTACTATGTCATTATAATAATTATATGTATATATATTTGTTGAAAGGTATGAAGAAAAAGCAACAGAGTGCTGAATATCATGATCACACTTTTGGGAAGTGGGGACATACTGTCTCTCTGTTTTGCTGATGGTCCTCTGTAAATATTGAAAAGGGAGTAGCATAAACTCAGAGCATGAATGAGAGAAGTAGTCACTGACTGCCCTGCCAACTCTTATTGGAGAAAAATTACGTGTACCAAGATATTTACTTCTTTGTAGCTCAGTAGCTACCAGTCACTGAAGAGATCTCGCAGAACAACATCGAGATCGTCTTACTTGTGCCAGGGTCATGGAGTATGTAAACTGGAGTCCTCAGCGGTCTTTGGTCTGTGCCCTGCTCTGAACCTGTGGCCAATGTCATGTTGCTGGAAATTTCTCTCATACTTTCACAGTAATTTTGCTTTTCCCCATATGGTTTGGCAATAACTAGGAAGTAAAATGCCGGCTTCCTTGGCAGGTCAAGACATTGTGTTGTTCTGAAGATGTGGCTGGTGTGATTTTTTTGGAGGAGAAGTTAATTGGTTCCGTTAGTAATGGGCATAAGTGTTCTTCAGTGCCTTTCACAAGACAGCAATGACATGGAATCCATACATGGATAGTGCTAATGTATTCCAGCAGCAGCTTGCTTTGTAGTTTAAACTTTTACATATTTAGGCAACTTGGCTCTGAACCATCACTTTAATATTTCATTTTTGTGTATAAACAGGGTTTAGGGAAATAAAAGTAAATATTCTGGTCTTGAAAACAAATCCAGAGAGGCTTTGGCTAATTTTCCTTTCTTAATAGCATCATTTGAGTTCATAAAACTTTTGTTATTGTAATAAGGATTCATGAAATGAAGACTGCAAGTCTGTGAGGTAAAATTCCTATGTTTTGGATCAGTGCTGTTGAAATGAAGTACTATTTGTCCACTGAGTTATTCTTAAGGAGTAAAAATATTGTTTAGTTATTGTGATACCTAAAAATGAGTGTTCTCTGCCACTGTTTTTGTTTTAACATGGTTTCTCAGACTGCCTCAAGTTCTCTTTATAGATTGTGAAATGTCTGGAGAATGGACTGAACAGAAGAATCAATCTGGAGGAGTGAATGAAAGACACCTTCTAGTTCTTGACTTACTGAACAATGCTTTTCTTTGTTATATTTTTGAAGATAGTTTTTTTCTCTATGGTCCTGCTCTAATGCAGTGTTAGTCTTCATTGTTGCAATAACACTGCAGGCAGAAGGACTACAGCCAAAGTCAACTTAGTCCTTTGAAACCGATGTCAGAGAGATTATGTGTTTGTTAAGGAATTATCATGTACCCTCTTGGTTAAATGCATTTGTGATTTTGCAATAGGTGGTGTTAAAGATGAAATAAAATATATCTCAGTGTTTACTGAAACTGATATGCTTATATATTACAGTAGATTCAGCAGCTCTGACTAACCAGATCACACACACAGCATTAGCAAATACAAGCTGTCACTCTGACACGTATGCCTGTGTTGACTTTGTTAGCTCGTAATCCATTTGGGGTGCATTTTCTTCAGATTACCTTTTTTATCAGTTGTTCCTCTGTGCTTTTATAGCTGACAAATCTCTTCTAAGTTACTGGGGAAATATTTCTTCCCTCCATTAACTAAACATTAAAAGCTAGAGCCAGGACTGGAGGTAGGATTAAAAAAAATCAGTGAGGCGTTATCTAACTTCAGATCTTCCACTGCAGAGTAGAAATCTGTGCCCTGTAAGTGATGTCTAAGACCCCCTATACACTTCATGGGAGACTGACTGATTTCAGCATGTGGTCTGAAACGTCATTGTTTTGACCAGGAAATGTTCTTGGGAAAAGTCAACTCTAAAATTCCCTATCGCATGCTACCATTAAGTACCTCAGCATGAGCTGCAGCTAGTTATCTTCACCAGCTTGAATCCAAGTTAGTGTTTTCCCTGGTAGAAAGACACCCACAGTATTTTTTTTAAAGAACTGAATGGTGTTGGTTCTTTTAAGGCACCATCTTCAGGACGGTGTTGGTGCTGCTTGTAACTATCTTCTGTATTACTAGCTTTATCTGACATCCAGCTGAGTACCAGGGTGTGATTCCCACAACAGCCTGAACAGGCTGAGTCCATACCCGTCTGCCCAGGCAGCCCATTCCTTCACCTCACAAACATGTTGGCTGAGAAAAATCTTCCTTTTGAAGAATTCAAGACTCACTGTGGCAAGACAGGAAAAGTGGAGACTTCAAAGCCTTGCAGTTGTCTCAAAAACTTTTTACACATTTATTTGGAAAAAATCCGTAGATAAACTACATAAACAATCTTGAAAGGAAATTTGAAACCCATTTCTGTAAGACTAAAATTTATGCTTTCTCTCTCTAGCCCAGTCGGTTGTCATTTCTTCACTTTGCAATGTCCTGGCTACAATGGAATGGGAGTGAATGTCGTGTCCTTACTCAATGATCTATGTCCTGGGAATCCCAAGTCACCAATGAGACCTAATTTTTATCAGCTGGGAATTAGGTGCAGATGTCTCACATCAGGGGAAGATTTTTTAATGATTATGCTCTTACAAAGATACTACTTCTTCCAGCACAAAACTGTTGACAGAGTCTAATCATGATCACTTGAACACAGGTCATTCCAGCAGAAATTCCTTTATTTTATAATTAACACCCAGATACAACTGACAGACTACAGTGTCACTAGGAAATATAAATCAAAACAATATATTTTACAGGTATAATAGAGGAAATGTACTTTTCCATTAAGCAATGAAGTGAGCTGTCATGAAGAGAGCCTGTAAAATTGCAAAAGCAACATAATAGCCACAAATATCTTGCTGTCTTTCAAAGTAAATCACTTGTGTGTGTGTGTGTGTCTAAGCACGAAGATGAGTAAACTTTCTAGTATCTAATTATAAAAAAAAATTTACATGACAGAAAGCTAGAGGAGATGTTTTTGATTTAGGTTTAGTTAAATCTGAATATGAATGGATCTCTTAAAATTCTGTGACAAACAGGGTTCAGCATTGAAGCTTTTGTTTTGAAGTCAGACTGAAAAACCAACACAAGGTTTGCTTCATATGTGCATTTCCCATCTAAAGAAATTATTTTATCCAACACTGTATTTTCAACATTTTATTTGGTTTGAATTTTTTAATCTTCACAGTTTTATGATCAAGAGTATTAATACACTACTTTCAAAATACGTACATGGTGGGAGGTAAACTAAGTGCTGCAAATTGCTGGACTGATAAAGGAGATTGTTTTGATTTGCAAACTAATCGAATTTGCACTTTTCTGATGTACTTTTGTCCAAAGGCTGATTTAGTAATGAGATATCATTTGACTGCAAATCTGGAAGGAATTTTTGGGCTTATGCCGATCCTAAAGAAAGAGGAAATGCCTGTTGTAATAATTGCAAAAAATTTCTAAAACTCTCCCCAGCAGAACTGCAAACCTATTATTTTGCTCTCACACTAAGCCATTTCACAAGCTACCCAAGCCAGCAGCAAAACTCACATTGAAGAGCAGAGACATTCCTGCTGTTCTAATCACACAATAAATTTCTAGCCCTAGCTCTGAATCAGTCACAGTCTAAACTGGAGCTGAATTCAGTGAAACCAGTATTTAATTCCTGATACTGTGTTGTGTTACATTTAGTTACATTAAGTTACATTTAGCTGGGAATTCAGACATAATTCAAATTAATCAAATTCAAAATATAATTAATCGGGTACTATCATAACAAGACAGGTGCGTATGCCATTCATGGTAACAGTCATGTAAGAAATGCCAGTCCATTATCCTGTGCTGATCAGAATCAGATCATTACAAGGATATAACTATGACAACCAGTTGCTAGAAATTTAAGCTAGATGCTTAAATCTAGCAAAATATCTTAGCTACAGGAAGAAATCCAGAACTCATAACCAGAAAGTGGGATCCAGACTGGTGTGTTAGGGACCATGACTCCCAGTACAGTGGACGGGGAGAATTAGGCACTTCAGGCCTTGCCTAGAGACAGTGAATAGAAAACATAGATGATGAGATGGGTTGTATCTTCTCTCAAGAAGCAGGCAGTTCAGCCCCAAGCAAGTGGCTTTCTCCACTGGGCATTAAGACCACAAAATTATTTCTAAAATTACTATATTGAAGTTGTCAAAGATCCTTTGTTTCTCATCAAAGCATATTGGAGGAGAAATCAAAGTTTCAGCAACAATATACTGAGGTCGAAGTATTAGCCCCAGTAGTTTTATTCTTATTTATGCTGAAAGGGATTGGAATCCTGATCTTCTCCTATCCCACAAGTGTTCCACCATCAAACTACAGTCAGCCCACATGTGACTGCTGCCTTACAAATATTGCATCAGGTCCTCGGTACATAGGAACCTAGTGTACAAATGTACTTTTTAACAGCTCTCTTCAATGTTTCTGAGTGTATTTTTTTTGTTTCCCTTTCCACCAGAATAGTTAAGATCAGAAGGGCTGGTTTCAAAGATTGTCACTGCTAGGCAGATTCACGCTGATAAAGCATTTATACCATTGTTGTGTGCATCTGGAGATGTAGGAAACGTGCAGCTCAGGACAGATCTATGAATCTACACAAATAAGAGAGAGTACAGTTCTACTTTTGCTTAGCTTTAATGAGAGTTAATAAGTACAAACATCTTTTGTATGCTCAACTACAAAATTCCGTAATTTATAGTAGTTTTTCTAATATGTATTTTATTATTGCATATGTACAACAGGCTGGCTTTCAAGAATAGCCTTAAAAAGCATAAGCAACAGAGTAGTTCATCTATGACTTTTATAATGGACCATAAATGCTTCAGAAGAATGGTCTGGCGAGGGACTTCTTGACTCATGTTTTGTTCTGCAGGCTCTAAAAACAAAGAATGTGCATGTATTTAGCAATAAACTATACAGCTTTTTGTTTGAACTTTGGCTTAATTGAAATCAGTGGCAAAATTCCCTTCATTTTATGATGAACACTGTGGTATAAAATAATTCCCTTCACTATTATAAATGCACTGTTCTTTCTTCCATCCCCTGTATTCTTTAAATCTGAGTTTTATTTATATGCTGATGTTCCTGTAACTGTAAACTTAAAGAGAAAGCCTCTGTTCCTATATATCCTTGCCTTGCCTTTTGCATTTTTCTGCATGATTCCTCTTTGATCTGCCTCTGAATTTAATAATGAAATTCGACTCAATATACCTCCCACTATATATAGCTCCTGCTACATCATGTTCTGTTACCTATCATCTGACAGTGTAATTCTTGAAATCGTGCCATTTAATTTGGTCCAAGAAAATGTATCATTTCAGAAAAGGCCATGTTCATTTGACTAAGTGAATGCACATTTCTGTTTTCTTACCAAGCATTGCTGTCTGGGCAGTTTCTCATAGTGTGTGGAGGGGGACGTTTACAGCATCCTATCAGCAAAAATGGCATTTGGCAAGAATATTAACTACAATAACAGCACTCATGGTTTGGTTTCTAAATATGTTATAGTGCTGAATATTCTCATTTCCTTTCTGCGTTACCTCTGCCTACTACAAGGCTAGGAAGGTAGGCTCGCAGAATTTTTGAATTCAGATTTCACCTTCTCCTGCCATGGGACAGGAAATGAAAGCTCCTGAAGCCTGGAACCTCTGCATGAATGGAGGCCACTGTAGAGGCTCATCGTATTTCACATTTCCCTGCTGACACCCACAATGTCAGTTCTTTCTATCACTAGGAAATGCTGGACTGTTTTTGAAGATGATCACAGTTTCCACCTCTTAACTAAGGCAAAACATTTTATTTTCTGCTTTTCCAGTTTCCTAGAGACAGTGATTAATATCCCTATCAAATTACCTGATCTTTAAGAGAGTCAACAGGACTATTCCTAAGATGAGAACTATGCAGGAGGAGTAGGCAATAATGTAGACTGTTTCACCTATAAGCAAAAAACAGAAAGCAGACATGAATCAGTTATTTCTTCAGTAATAAGAATATGATTTGAAATCTCAATTGGAATGCACACATATGTAAGTTAAATTAGCTATCAGTTCTGACAAAAGTAATTAAAAGGAGAAAAAAGCCAATGGCTGGAATAACTTCCTTAACCAAAAATAATTTGCAGACTCCTTCCAGTAAATGCCAGCCCCATTAGCACTTCATATGCGTAGCACTACCTTTGCTCTATGCCAAGGGGACAGCTTGTTACTCTGATTTGTGTTTTTGGAGTATTTTCCCCATTTGTTTTAAAGTGTTAATTTAATTCCCTATATCAGAGGAGACCTGGTCCTTACTTACCTGTTAGATCTCTTATCATTTTTTACATATTGCCATAATTGCAGTACGCAGCAATACTTGACCTAGAATCAAATTAATGTAACATGGGATCTAGCACCGTGTTTCTGGGCCCTGGGCCCATGCCATTTCCTCTTTCTGTTAGGCTTCTCACCAAAAAGTCACTTAGGAGGCTTATGTGCTAAAAATTCCAACTGTTGAAAAACTGGGAGTTGTTTCAACTTTTATTTTCCAAATAAGGAGAAACTTATTTTTCTTTTTTTTCCTGAAGAAATTAATTTATCAGTTTTGATCAGATATTCTAAGGAAAAGTTTCAGTTGAGACTGTAACATACGCCCCAAGCCTGGGATAAAGAGATGCAGAGGTTAGATGATTTGACAAGAGGACTCAAAATCCAGAGCCGCAAGCATAAAGCGTGAGACCTGTTGCATTGATTCTGCCATGTTTATACAATCACATAAGTTTTATTTATATAGGAACTCAAATTCAGAGCTGTTTCCAAGCTGCTCCACCTTAGTCAGTGAAACATTAACTGAGGAAAAGATGGGGTCCTGGCCACAAATCTGGGCCACTTCTCTGGGTTGAGAAGGCCAAATTCTGATCTGTGGATCATGAGACAAGGGGGGGCACGAAATTACAAAATGGGATATAGAAATCTTTAGTTTTCTATATATATCCTTTGTTGGCAAAACTTTGTTGGCAAGTTTGTTCCTGGAGTTTTCTCCAAATCAATTAGCTACTAGTTATATGTTCTGTTAGATTTGTGCATATGCATGCACACAGACCCTAAATGAGCCATTTCTGCATACAATGCATACATGCAATGCAGGCAGTATGGAGCAGAGCAGGGGTTTGGAACTTCCTGGTTTTTATTCCCAGATGATACTTCTTCTCAAAAAGCTATTCAAAAGTCAAGTTTTCCAGTAAAAGAAAAATGAAAGCACTGATTGAACCAGCACAAAATGAACATACCTCTTAATGCAGCAAGCTACTAAAGATATGTAATGTGGTGAATTTTTGAAGGAAGAGGGGTGACGTTTATCTGAGTCTCAGTGCGAAACAGCTAACAACATACATTAAAAAACATGAGCAGTTGGCCCTCCTCTCAAGTTACATTTATTTAAAGTGGTGAGCTTTAGGAAAAGAATCGTTTCTAGGTTTTCCTTTAGGCTTCTTCCCCCCCCCCCCCCCCCCCTTTTCTGAATCTTAATTACACACTCAGTTGTTTGGTTTTTTGTATTTTTATTGTTTTTAAACTGTAGAAAGAAAGACATGCATAGACAGAAAGCCGTAGAAAAGCTGCAGGAGCAGCTGTAGAGGCAAAAGTTTCCCACTTTTTTAAGTGAAGGGTGAAGTTCATACATATTCAAGGCAAAGAGAAGTTTTTAGAGTATATCACTTCCCACAAGACTAGGAAAATTATTAGGAACAATGCTCAAGGATGGTTAAAAATGTGATAATATAATTTCACCAAAACATTGTAATATTTTTCTTTTAAAAGCTGGAAAAGCTGTTTCATTTTGATAATGCAAAACATTCTGAAATGAGTAAATGAAATTAAAACGTTCTATTTTTGCATCAAAATCTTGTAATAGGCTATGGTTCTGGTGAAGCAATTCCTGGTAAAAGAGCTGCTGATTGTAACATTTTCAGTTCTATGAGGAACACAAGAAATATGTTAATGATGAGATCATTATAGAAACCATACATTTTCTCCTACCTTCTGAGAAGTGAGGGAATTTGTATAGCTAAGACAGGGTGCAGTTTTATGCCTGAAGAGCTAATTCTTCATTTTATATACTCTTTTTTTTTTTGTGATTTAACTACCTGAATGTGCTTTTTCATCTTCCCTTAAATATATCATTGGGTGTGTGTTTCTTGATAGGCACTCTGCTCTTCTTTAAAAACACAAAGGATATTTTATAGAAATATTTACTATTAACCTATATCAAATCAGTTCTTGAAACATGAAATACTGCTAAGGCAGTTAAGAAATACAGATATGAAGTATAGTGTACATAACCTGCCTATGGCTTTACTCTTCTAAGTAACAGCTGTCACTCTTTCAGTACTTCTCTTCAATTGACTGAGGTTTGGGTTGTCTGCGGAGAAAGGGACACAAATGTATGCATGTACCACAAAGAAAGGAACATGCAGTGTCTAAAGTCTTATAAAAGGAGGTGGGTAAAATACAAGCTGTTTCCAGCTCAGTCCTGCAGAGAATGAATTGACACGAGAGTAGTCATTTCCGTTGCAAGGGGAAGGGCTGTGAGGTGCTGTGAGGGCTGCTCTGTCCCATGGTGGTGGCTTGTAGTCATGAGAAGCTTGTGGACCTTCTCACTTTGAGGCAGGTTTATAGCAGGGCCACTGCAGCTGCATGATGCATGTCTTGCCCTTCCTAGGGCGGGCTGCAAACCTCAGGGATGCAATGACTTGGGCTACAGGTACCACTGAAGCATTAGCTGGAGCTGTCTGCATAGACACAGACATTTGCAGGGCTGAAGTTCAGTGCTGTGGGCTTAGCAGCTGCAACAATTAGTGGGATTACAGTCCTGTGTCAATCTACCTGCTTATAGTGAAATCAGACAGATCAATTCCAGCTGGTGCCGAGAGGCTTCTTGGCTACTTGCAGCTTGTTGCACTTTTTTCTACATTTATAAAACAATCATTTTGACAATTGCCCTGATTTCAGCTGGGATAGAGTTAATGTGCTTCCCAGTAGCTGGTGCAGTGCTGTGTTTTGGATTTAGTATGAGAACAATGCTGATAACACACAGGTATTTTAGTTGTTGCTGAGTAGCATTTACCCTGATCAAGACTTTCCAGTCTCTCATGCTCTGCTAGTGATTAGGAGTTCGCGAAGCTGGGAGGAAGCAGAGACAGGACACCTAACCCAAACCTGCCAAAGGAGTATTCCATACCACAGCATGTCAGGACCAGTATATTAACTGGGAGGGTGTTAGGTAGGAGTGGCTGATTGGTGCTCATGGATGGGTTAGGTGTTAGTCAGCAGGTGGTGAGCAATTGTATTGTGCATATCTTGGGTTTTTTGGGATTTATTCCTCTCTATTTCCTTTGATTATTATAGTTATTATATTTTACTTTATTTCCATTATTAAACTGCTCTTATCTCAACCCACAAGTCTTACCTTTTTTTATTCCCTCGGTACTCTTCCCCAGAGGGAGTGTGCCAGCTGCATGATACTTGGTTACTGGCTGGCTTTAAATCACAACAGTGTCTCATACCTTACAAATTAAAATTTCTGGAGCTGAACTAATCTCAGTTCCCTCAGCAGCTGGTATAAGTATAGATAAACCCTGCCAATTACTTGTTTATCTAGATTCTTAGCACAGCAAAACTCCTCAGTAGGAAATATATGATAACTCTACAATTTAAGATGAAATGAGATTAATTTCAACATTTTTGGGTCAAGCCCAATTTTACTGTATCTCACAAGAACAGGATAAGAATACTGTATTTATAGCTTTCTCTTCCAGCCAAAAAATACCTTAGCTCCAAAGCCCTACGCTGATGAAAGTGAATGTTTATCTTCACACATGAATCATTTTTCAAATTAAAGTAGGGCAAGCAATCTGTTAAATTATGTGAAACTGTAGAATCATTAAGATAATTTGCATAGTTTTCAGTCAAAACCATGCTGAAAGTGCATAACTAGGTAGGCAATAACAGTATTTTTTAAGTTTGGACAATTTTTGTTTAATTTATCACTTTTGGATGTTGTTTCCAAAATGACATAAAATTCTGGCCCCATCTGAGCTTACAGCAAGTCTCATTAACTTTTATGTGCTTAGGGCTCTGCCCACATCACAGTCCTGTCAGCAGGACTGTATCAGCCCACAAGTAACTGCATTGGCCTGTACCCTGCTGGGTGTGTGAATGACTGCAAATCTAGTCAAGATTTTTACACAACCCTGTTATCATATGGTTGCACCAAAAGCTGGAATAATATTCTTCCAACTGAACAGGGTTGTATTTATTAGCCAATATATATGAATATATGCATATATGTTTAGATTTATTATTTAAAATGAAATATTCCTTTTATTGAAACAAATCTTATACAATGGCATGATTTGCAATGCCACTGAATACAATGGAGAAATCTTATTGATTTTGGACAGCAAGTGGGTTTTAGTTTGTGGTTTTGGTGTGTTGTTTTTTTATTATAAAATTGAGAAAAAGCTGAAGAAATACTGAGTTTCTTCTGATCACGCTCATCTGTAGATGGTCATTAGTGTGAATTGGTGAAGACATCATTGTGTCTTTCAATGACAAGCTAACTAAAGGATTCTTCTGAGGTTTTCTATGTAGCAACAAGACATCAGCACATTATATCTCCTGCTTTCCAAGCAGAAAATAGCCAAGAAGCAAATATCTCCAAATACCTTCACACACATAATGGCTGTATTTGACAACTTAACCATTTTGCCTCTGCACCCTGGGATTCTTCCTAGGATTTGATTTCAGTACAGATAAATATTTTGTAAAGATGATAACTCCCTTTGCAGCCTGAGTAATGCACGTTTACTAGCATGTGAATCTAGGACCCTGGGATAGATTTTTGCCAATTGGATTTATGAAACAATTTGCAATATGTTTTTTATCATCAGGTAGATACTGTGAATCAGATTCTTCTCCTTGACCTGGCTTCCTATGAGATGCTTATATATATAGCTTGGAGACTTCTCATCTAATTTACATGACAGCTCAAATAGACAGAATATTTTATGGTATGGTTCAGGCTGGTCAGCATTCTTCTTATTTTTCTAAGGCCATCCAAAATTCTGTTTAGAGTTCAAGGACAGATTTTTGGAAAGTATTCAGACCTCAGTGGGAACAGAATTAACTGGGTGCAGGCTGCTTTTTGCAAATATTTCTCTGAATCTCTAAGGGAAAGTATAATACTTTTTACCCACTGAAAGGGTCTGCAGTTAGAACTAGTTACAGGGGTGAAATATCTGACATTTTACATTTTCTCACTTAGAGCAGGATTTCTTGCATTCTAACCTGAATTATTTAACCACTGGCATCTTATTCCAGCTAAGATTCAAGCTCTCTCTGTAGCTGACAAAGAAGATGCAACACTCCCAGAAAAAACAGTCTGAAAAGGGGGGTAATTTTCCTCTGAGGGTCCCTGACTTTCTTCTCTGGCTACATAGAGCATTTGGATGACATGCATGATTCTTAAGCAATGTTAATGCTAAAATTACAGCTGATTGCTTGATTATTCACATACAAGTTTCAAGAATCCCATTCCCATGAATACTTTCCAGGTTGCTCACTTCAGCAATAGTTGAAAGATGGAGATGATAAGAAGTCCCTTCATTTTGTACTGCATAGAGAATTTGATTTATTTTTTTCACTGTTTAAGGTGTTCAGTATGTGCAGTTCTGTGAGCTAATTTGTAGTAGTGTCAGAAGTATTGTAATCTGTCCTATGCAAGGTAGAACAGGTCATTCTTCTTAGAGTTGGTATTCGAGCATTAAGCTCTCTAGTGTTCTCACTGTATAATTGGGTCCTTCAAAAGGAAATACAAAATTAATATTATTTCAACCATGAGAAAATTTGTATATTAATTCAATATATTTTAATTTTATGTCAATTGCTTACTGTAAATTCATGGAAATAAAACCAGATGCAGCTCTTTAGCCCATGTGATATCCTGATCCACAATTGCATGCCTTTCTGTTGCATGAGTAGGTAAAGTCTGATGGAGTGTAATACGAGCCCCTTCTCAAACCACTTACTGTTGCTTCCTAGTTTCATTGTTGTAACTACTACGGTACAAAAAGTCAAGAGAGATACTAGAGAAGTAGGTGTGACATCAAAGCTAACAATTTGTATTACACATTATGACTACTACTCTCTGATGACTGTACTGAGAGTCAGGCTCTGGCGGGCTTAATAGCTTAATTTTCTTCAATTACAATACAGTGATTGTGAGACATCTATTTCAAAATCACTTATCAGAGAAATTGGTTCAGTCTCATTATCTTTATTTTGTGGTTATATAAACTAAGCCAAACAGGTAGAGAGATTTTTCCACATTATGTTGAATGAAGGAGAAACAGGTAGTACTCACTTGCCTGAACCCATCCAAGGGACAGAATCTTTAGTCTTCCCTATCATACACAAGGGAATTTTTAAGAGTACTTCTATTGAAATCATGGAGTGGTTTGCCCAAACTTACCATTAATTGAAGAAGAATGGAGCTGTGCTCTGGAAAGCTTTTCTCCTGGCATTTCTGTATTTACCCAATGAAAACCTTTCTTCTTAATGGAAATTTGACCTGAATATTGGAAAGAAAATATAAATTCAAAATATTAGTTTAAAATAATAATTTAAGAGAACATTGCTTTGTGTCTTGATAAGAGTTGAAGAATGTATAAACGCAGCTATCTAAAAGCATTGTTCAATGATACTCAATGAACAAAGTGAGTGAGTGAATGACCATTCTTCCTTTCACATCTTAGTTAACCTGCCCCTGTACTTTGTCTTATGAGGGACATGCATGCTTTAAAAATATTCTCTGCCTCAAAACAGCTTAATTCTTTAACTTAAATTATTGTGGAAATCAGCACAGCAAAATAATTGGGTTCACCAAACCAATATAGAAGTGATGAGAAATGAGTAGTAGTTTCAAATAATTTCCAAAAGGCAAAATTTATTCTTCAAATGAATTGCTAGACCTCTATAAACTCTTTTGCAGAGGCCTGTCCTCTTAGTTGGCATGATTTAATCAGTGTATCTGAAAATATTTATCTTCTGTTGAAATGAAAAACAAAAAGCTTACCTAAGTAGATTAGTTTACAGACCAAGACTGTGTAGTCACTCAGATGAGCTGTAAGCTGAGAAATTTTTATTCCCTAGCTGAATGAAAACAATATAACAAAGGCTCATGTTTGTAGCCTGGAACATTGTCTAAATAACAATGGACTAAATCTCCTTGCATTGTATTTTTTCTGTGAGATCCAAAAGTAAAACAGAGTTAAAGTATTTTTGAGACTTAACTTTTTAATTTCTGTCACAAGCATTTTTGCTTATTCCTGTTGTGACACTGATCCTTCATTGGCACTGATTCATATTGTGCTTCCATCTCATATAGCAGCCAGTTATTCACACTTCCAGCCTTTTACCAAGTTTGCAGCAAACACTTATAGCAAGGCAGGATCATATATGAGTAGGAAGATGTGATGGTGGAAATGCTGCTTGCAGATCTAGAGGTAAAGATCCCTTTTCCTAGCTCTGGCTATTTACCTATTTGGAAGGACTTCAATGTTAAAAATCACCACTGTAAGAGTGAAACTTATCCAAAGTTCCCACCCAGGCCAGATGAACGAGTGAACAGAAGGGGTTGGACGAGGTCTGCAACAGAGCACTCACTCCATGTCTCTGAACTGCCATACAGATAATAGCATTTAACACTGTGCCTTGCAATGAAACCCATAATCATATTTCTCTTCAGTTTAGCTGTATTACAATTAGATATCTAGAAAAAGCAAACGCAAGATTCATGAGACTCAGCAAATGTTCAGTAGCAAAGGTGCCGATTCTTTACTCAGCCACAGGCCTAGAATCCACAAACTGTTTAACTAGCAGGAATTTATTGCACCACAGAAGCAAGCATGTTTCTGTTCTTCAATCCAAATTGGGTTAGGGAGGTTTCCATCACAAGAAAGCCAAAACATTTTATCCTGAGACTGCTTCAGGGAATGGCAAAAGCTCATGAGCAATTATTTGATTATTATGACATGAGGGTCATCTTTTTGTTTCGTAGGTAAAGAATAACTAACACAATGATGTGATCACTCATTTGGACCTTTAAATGCAGCCATAAAGCAAGCAAACAAATAAATAACATTCACCAGCAAAATCACCTCCAGTAGTCTCAAATCTAAGTGTGTTATGGTATCACTTTTCCAGGAGAGTTGTTACATGATTTTTAATATTTTCTTACAGGCTGAATTTTAGCAGTGATTAAAGGCACCACTTCAGCAAATTGATTTTAATTTCTGGGCAGAATTTGAGTGACAAGAAAAAATTTACCCTTATCCGTGGTAACATCTTGGCTGCTGAAGTTAACATGAAATTACTGCATGTTTTTAAAAGACAGCCCATCAGATGGAACTATGAAATAGTAATTTTTTTTTAACTGAAATCTTTAAATATAGTTACCTCTCCCAAGGTAGGTTGAGAATATATATAATTATGTATAGAAGATGACTGACATAAGGTGTGACGCACTAGCAAGTAGCACAAGTAGCGCAAGAGGATTTATGTAGCAAAATAGCTGGTAGAATAGAGCAAAGGTCTGAGGAAAAGAGAATACCTTGGTCTTTAATCTGGTTCATGATCTATGCCTGAATGTAGATGGAGCATTGCCGAGGTGGCAAATGAATCTTTCAGTTCAGTTTTAGGCTACAGGAGTCCAGGAACCACCCTGTGATTTAGAACTATCCTCTGATGTGGAAACACCTTGTGATGTGACCCACAGCAAAATAGGTGGTGACAAACAGGAAGTTTGTCACAAAGGCACAGTCATGGCTCAGACTAAAACGCTGATATTTGCTCCTGTTTTGCCATTCATTGCATGAACAGTTCTACCTTAAACAAAGACTTGGCAAGGACTTTTATATTTAACAAAAATAAGTAGCTGATTTAGCACATGAAAGACTGCTGGTTCTGAGAAAGCACATCCTGTTTGTCTTGAGTTAAACTGAGTGTTTTTACTAAAGGCCAGATCCTGAAGCCTCCATTCCCAGCAGCTCTTTCTTTCAGATTTGAATCATTCAAGTTATTTTCTGTGTAATAAAGTCTATTGCAAAATGTGTGTCAGCAATGCTAATATTTAGACTCTAAGAAGAAAAGAAAGAAAAAATCAACTTCGTATCTCATATTATTTATAAAAACAGTGCACCAAAGTACAACATTAATCCAATGACAGGAAGACTTTGGACTTTTCTTATCTGTGTAATTGTATAGATCTCAGAAATTATTCTTTTATTGCTATTCCAGCAAGCTCATATAATGAGACATGTAGTCAATTTTATTGATTTACTTCTAATATAAATATTTCTCAAAACCAGAGGAAAAAATCTGTATGTGTAATTTGTAATTTGGATTAAAAGAAATACAGATAAAGATCTTGCTGGAATCAGTGACAGCAACAATATAGCAAAGATTTGGTGTAAATCAGCAATTTAACACTCTTTAAAAAGAATTATTCTGTAAAGTTTTATGTGTTACTCACGTAACTCATTGAAGCAGGATTTGCTGTGAAGCATGTGGTGGAAGAGCTCACACAAAGAGTGCTCTGCAGCAGGTAAATTCTGGCAGGTACACTCCACAAGCAGCGTTGTGCCCCAGTTGCTAATGTAGGCTGCTTTGCAATCAGCATTTGCAGAACAGGGCATGTCATCCTTGATTAAAGTTTCAAGGCAAGCCTCATCATTGTAGCATTCTTTTGTCACATGTTTCCAACATTTTGACTGAAAAGCTGTGTATTTTTTCCTGGTGAAAGAAAAAGAAGTGTAAAATGACAGTTCAAAACCTCTGTGATTTCACAAAAAGACATTTAAGAATCGTCATGAAAAGAAAGTGTATTCCGGAAGTACTACTTAAGCCTTAAAGATCATGCTACTTAGTGCTAGGTGGCCTAAATTCTGCTCTGATTTGCACCTAATTGGTTTGAGCAAAATCTGCAGAATTGTAATTTCAGGAAAAACTTGGGTTTATTTAAACGATTTTGTGAATGAAATCACATTCCTACTCAGCACCTGTGGGGATTTTACCAGGGGTAAAGTGAAAACCAATGTGAATACCAACAGTCTCAGATCCTCAGAGAAGAAATGCAGATAGAGGAATTAGGCCTGCATCACAATGAAACTACACCAGGCACTGTTTTTCATTTTGTTTGTCATGAAGGAAGAATGAATATTCAACTTATTTAACATAAAATAATCCATATTCAATGCCAACTCCTCCTCCTCCTGAATGCTAATGAAATGAAAAATGCCCAAAGCTCAAGAAAAAATTAGAAGTAACTTAGCTGACCTTAAAGTTTAATTGATAGCAGAGATAGATCACAAGAACTATCTTGTTTCCCAGTTTAATAATCTCAAATTATTTCAGTTGATTTGCTCTTAGGATAGAACAAAATTGGCCTTGAATGCACCATGTATAACAATAGAAAACATCTATTAAAAGTTAATGAAGAAATCTGTAGATATTAAGGAGAAACCAATTTATCAGTTACAGTAAATATTAGGAGACAATAAAGGTAAACTTTTGTATATTGTACATTAATATATTAAAACATTTTTGCCTAATAAAATTAGGTTATTAATTTACTGTTGATATTGTGTAGTTGTTATAAGCATGTCACATGGGAAAGCATGGACTATTACAAAACCAGTTAGGACATTATCATAAATATTTTCATTACACAAGTAAAGGTTTCAAAGCAGATGCCACCTATGTGCTCATGGAATTGGTTTTATTCACCTCCTGATTTATAAATATGGCTAGCCATAATTCACAGACTAATTTTGCTAATTATATCCACTTACTTTCAGTGCCAGGAAACATTAATGTTCCCAAAATAATAGGTAATTCAGCAAGTCTCCATTATGATATTACATGTGTCCACATGCACAGAATTTGTAGCCCGGTTCTTATTGACATAAAAAGGGTCAGTTCCCATTGATGTCAGTCTGAATAGCCTGCACGTAACTGGAAGTGTCACTTGGCCTCCCGCTTTGTTGACTGAAGGTTAATTTGAGCACAGCTTGGAGGTAAAATTCAGGACTAATCCACAAGGGACCTGGTGACTACAGAGAAAGCCAAAGTGGACCAATTGACCATCCACAAATGGTGACAATTAAGTAGAATTAGGAATAAGAGCTAATCCTGTTGTGTGTTTTCTAAAAAGAAAATCAAATCTGAACACTGTGTTATTCTTCATAAGATTGCTGTTCTGTGCATTTTTCAGGGCAGCCTTTTTTCAAGTATTAGTATGCTTGAAATAAAGAGAAGATGAAAGTCGCCTGAATGGGCCAAGCTGGTTGTACAGCTGTCGGGTACAAAGGGTCAGACTCTACAGTGGAAAAGGTAATTACTTTAACCAAACAAACTTTGTCCAGTCTGCTGCACAATTTGTGCAAACTGCTAGAGGTCAAAGATGCAGACTGGCAGGTGTTATCTGAAGACAGTGGTAATGAAAATATGCAGCAGCACAGTTTGTCCATCAGAGAAGGTGTTAAGGGTCATGAAAAAGGCAGGAGAAAAGCCCACATTAGATTCCAGACCTTTCTGAAAATGAAGCTTTTCAGTTTACTGGTGGGATTAGTTGTGGAATTACTACAGTCAATGCAGATATATGTGAAGATGTCGAATACAGGTGTTGACATACAGTAGACACAGCGCAGGAAATAATTTTGTTATAGATAAGGTATATGACATAAAGATAAAAATTGTTTGATCAAATCATTATTCAAAAGCAAGATTTTTTTTTTTTGCTTACCTGCACAATTCATTCTCTTCACACATGTGGATTACATTCAGACATGATGGGGGTGGAACTGCAGTAACTGCACAGGGCTTGCCATGGAGAAGTTCTTTGGCTCTGTGGCAGGACTCATCAGGCTGGGTACAATCACAAAATATCATCATTTGGGCAACTTCAAAAGGCATGTTTTCATAGAAGAACCTTAGGGCTGCTTGACATTCGTCCATGTTGCACTTCTTATTTACTGAGCAAGCCTTAAGATACAGGGACAACTGTTTGTTACACACTTCATCTTCAACACACTCTCTGTTCACATCCAAGCAGGTGCTGTTTGCTGTGTATGCTAAAAAGAATAAGTTTTTTAAATGAAATCACAAGAAAACCTTTCTCAAGTGATGATTAGTAGTCATCCTGCATGCAACATTCCCATTAAAAACAATTTTGACTCTGATCCAGCCCTTCTAACATTGCTTCCTTTAAGACCATTGTGTGAACTTCACACTTCTTCCTTCCACCTCTTGGACCTCTTAAGCAACTCTCCTGCAAGTTTCTGCCCCTGTCAGATAAATAAGGGAGAAGAAAGTGAAAACTGGCAAGATGGGAGTGACTTCATGGTATGTAACAGTTCGTAGAAGCTAGTGTCTAGTAGATACCTGAAACTGCTGAAATCTCCACCATGCAGTCTTATGCTAGGCTATGTAATAAGTAACGGAGCAGAGAATATAAATAGCCTTTCTGTGTTTTTTAGAGCTATTTTAGGTATTTGTAGCCTATGCTATAAACCTTACAAAAAGATCTAGACAGTTCTAACCCTAAAATGTTTATGGGATAAGATTTGTTTCTGTGAATTTAACAGGATCAGGATTGTTACCTGACATTTTAAGATTCTTTTCTACCCAGTAGCTTAACTGAAAATACACTGGATTGACTCTTCAGTAATTTGAATGAAAAGTATTCATTTTAATCTCAAGACACTTTGTATACTATCTGAAAACAGAGCTAAAATGAGTTATTAGGATTCATAGGTAAATTCTGACTTACCTTGTTTAGAGAGTGCAGATAAACTCCATTGTAATTTTGTTTCTGTACTAATATTGTCTGAAACAAAAACATATGGATAGCAACCATAAGTGATAAATCATGTCTTAGCTTAGTTTTAGTTTTTAACTTTAAAGTGTTGACTGTGTTGCTGGCATAGTGCCAGTAGTAAAAATAAAGAAGAATAAAACTAACTAACTTGACAAAATAAGACCTATTAACAAATTATAAAATCACTGTAACATATATTCATAAGTTTTGGGGTGAAAACACAGTTCATCAATGGCTGCTGATAACATTCTTACATAATTATAGATCCTGTGAGTTCAAGAAGCATTTTTAGAGCTGCTCAGTGCAGAATAAAGTCAGATTTCTTGTGGCTTAAGGCCAAAGGCCTTAATGTGTTCATCAGTGCACCCAGTTTGTAAGCTCAACTAATTGCTTGTCCTGATCTAAAGTCAAGGCAATTGCTGTTAGAAAATTGTTATTGGTCTTATATTGTTTCTATTTATAGTGTAATGCTAAGAGGGATTGATTTGGATTGGGTTGTATCAAATTAACACAATGAAGAACAACCGTATCTGTGCTCAGGCTATCATTTTGCTATTACATTATTCACGTCTAAATAAGCCTCTTAAAGTTATCCTGTTTTCAATGTTAAACTGCAAATTATTAAGAAAACCTTTTTCACAAACTTGTGCGCACCACTGTTACGTATGAAAGTATTCAGACTGCTGGAATAGCACTAACCTGTGTCAGTGTCCTGATTTTTCCCATTTTCAACATCATCATCATCATAGTTGTCATCACCATCATCATCGTCATTTTCACTAGCTGCTAAAGCTTGGCTCTCTTGAGAGTATTGTAAACAATGGTTGTTAAATATTTCCTTCCATATTTTAACACATCTCATCTGAAGTGGCTCTGAGCACTTGCACTCTCCCAGCACTGTTTTCCTCAGCTCTTTCCACACTGACAAACATGCCTGGTTGACCATTGGGAGCATGCATTTTGCTGTGTCTGCCTGGCATGCTCTCTGGAAGCTCTTATACACTGAAAAGCAGTAAGAGTCGTCTTGACAGAGTTGTTTTGCAGTGCTGCAGTCGTTCTCTAATTCTTCCAGGTGTCCTTGGTCTTTGGGGTTTCTGTGTTGCCTAAAATTCAGTTCAGTATCTGATCTTGAGGAGGTTTCCAAATATTCTACACAAATGGGTACAAACAGAGATATAATCAAATAGAAGATAGATCATCATCACTGGTCAGCTCAAAACAAACTCAGGAAAAGGATAATTCTCTTAATGCAACAAAATGAATGAAATAGCCTTAGTTTCATTCTGAGCTGTATGTAAATACATAATAATTTCAGAGTCTTGCAGACTAATGAATCTTTCTCATGCTTACTGTGTCTTGTTAGCTGTATAATACAGTCTAACAATTCAGCTGCTAACAGTTGAATGAAACCCTCATTAAAATTACTGCATAATGGGATTTATCTCACATAATTTTAACCACCTACAGGTTGGACATACAATAGATAATCATTTTAATTCAGTGCATAATTTGTAAAGAGAGAATGGCAATTCCAGCAGATCATCCATTCATTACCTAAAATAGTAATTTAATTTAGGCAGGGAGAAATAAGTCCTAAAAGTATCTACAAACACCATAAGCTATCATATGTAGGTAAAACTGATACGAGCATAACTCCATCAAAACTTTCTGCTATACTGGTGAGAAATGTAATCTCAACCATTAAAAATAAAAAAATTACTTCATTTTGATAGAAGCAAAAATAACTGTTCCAATGACATCAACATCAGATTTTAGATACCCACTCTTGTTTGCAGAAAGGAGTAACAGATGAGGATGTTATTATTTCCACTGCACTGGTTCTCAACACACAACTGTTGTGGTTTAAGCCCAGCCAGCAACTCAGAACCATGCAGCCATTCACTCAGTCCCCCACCTTCCTCCCCCTGCTCCCAGAGGGATGAGGAGGAGAACAGAAAAAATGTAAGTCCCACGTGTTGAGATAAGAGCAGTCCAGTAACTAAGGTATAACGCAGATCACTGCTGCTACCACCAATAATAATAATGATAAAGGAAATAACAAGGGGAGAGAATACAACCGCTCACCACCTGCCAACCAATACCCAGCCCGACCTAAGCAGTGATCTCGCCCTTCTGGGTAACTGCTCCCAGTTTATATACTGGGCATGACGTGCTGTGATATGGAATACCTCTTTGGTCAGTTTGGGTCAGGTGTCCTGTCTCTGCTTCCTCCTAGCTTCCCCTCCTCCCTGGCAGAGCATGAGACTCAGAAAATCCTTGGTCAGGCTAAACATTACTGAGCAGCAACTAAAAACATTGGTGTTATCAGCACCGTTCCCAGGCTGAAAGTGAAAAACACAGCACTACACCAGCTACTAAGAAGGAGAAAAATGACTGCTACTGCTGAACCCAGGACAGTAACCTATAGACCCAGTAGTGCTCAGCCTCCTTGCGGCAACAAGTAGCCTTCAACACACATTGTATTTTCACTGTTGCTTTCCACTGGATTAAGTAAGAGCTTTAGAAACTGTTTTAATTCCTTACATGTATGTTACTGATTTTGTTTGGTTTAAAAAAGATATGGCATTGCTTTCTTATGCATGTTGGAGTATGCATATTATAGAAAAGAAAAAACTAATTCTCTAGATGTGAGAAATATGCAAACAAACTTAAATCCAGTTAAAATGAGGATTACAAAATTATAGAAGATTTCTTTTTGCCCTTCATAACTAAAACATTTCTAAATTAAAGCCATAATTAAAGGTTTAGTTACCTTTATCAATGCTGCACTGTTTCCCAAGCAAAGTTGTGATGCTACAGATATCATCTGAAGTGCAGGCACAGTTTTTAAATTCTGGGTATTTGTCAGTCAGGACCCGGATGATTCTATTACATCCAACAGCATCTTCTGCCTTGCATCTATTATCTAGAACTCACCATTAAAATTATAATGTTGTTAATGTTTATGAATGCTTAAGGGATATGGTTACATAAAACAATTCAATTGAAGTATAAAAAATAATGCATTGATAAGAGATGATGGTTTGAGCTTATTTTTGTATGGAAACCTGTTTGAAAGCAGATTTTAAATAATATAAATGCTGATATAATAAAGTTTCCTTCTTTTGTTTGATCTCCCCTTTGCCAAAATGCCTGTTCTCATTTCCAAATGACATAAAATCTTAAGCTTGTATCTTTTAATTTAGGTACATGAGGAACAGAGACCAAACTGAAAAGGTGCACAGGAATCAGTCTGATCTGAGGCACTGAGAAACTCAGCTTGGTCCTATGTAGAAATTAGGTGACTGGTGCAGGGACATAAATTCGCTGTACAGGTTAAGGTACTGCTAAGTACCAACAAAGTAAGAGAGAGAACATAGGAAGCCAGGCACAGGCCTGTGGTAATGGTGATGCTAACCCCATGCTGAGTGATGTCTGCTCTAGTTCAGATCCCTCACTCACATGAGGCAGGAGCCTAGAAAAGCCTGACTTTGGATATGTCCTTGGACTGCTACCTGACTTCACTCCCTAAGTTTGGCAATGACAAGAAATTTAAAGCAGTCCAAGTATATTTTGGGGTTTTTTTTTAATTTTTAAATAATGAAAATAAGAAGTTTGCACTTAAAAGAAAACATGCAGAAGCCTTAGTCTGACAGTCCAGTTTCAAGCTTATTGCTTGCATGTGCACTTAGACTCAGTGACAAAGACACACAGGCTGTCAGGTCATATTTTCCTTGTATGGGTAGTAAAGGTCATGTACTAGCTTGTGGTACAAACGTAAATAAATCAACCTTTTGCTTTATGAACTAAACGATTTTAAAAGTATTTAATTACTTATTATTGCTTAAGAAAGTTACAGGTTACTCAAGGAAGTTGCATAAGAAACAGTTTTATGCCATTTAAGAAAGTTTTATTTTGTGAAAGCCACGGTCTCCCTTGTCAAAACAGGTATACAGGTCCTCAAGCCATCACATTTCCTCTCTTTGCCCCATAGGTGTTAAGTATTTCACAATATGTAAGATAAGGTGTATGTGGCTCACAAGATCCAGGCTTGTCACGGGACAGCACGAGGTTCAGTTTTAATTACTGAGCACATATGCTATTGTCTCTGCCCTGTCAACGGTGATGTCTGGCTTCCTGCCATGCTGCTTCCCAGTGACTAGCATGGAGCAGCAGAGACCGCGTGCTCTAGTAAAACAGCAAAACTAGCACCATGTGTCACTGCTGCCATGGACAAGCTTTAATCTGATTAGAGTTTTAATGTCATTTATGTGTTGTTGACACAAATAGAAATACAAGGCAGTCTAGGTGAAGGCCTGCAAGAGGAAAGAGTGCATTTTGCCTGTGCCTGAAGGAATGAGTATCAGGTATTTCAGACTGTACATCCCACCCTGCCAACTCTAAATCCTTTTTCAGTGTATGCATTGTTCTTTTTCCAGTTGCTGTTGGTTTTGATGGTGTATTAGAATGTGCATTGCTGTAGGGTGATGTTGCAATCCATCAAGAGCTAAAGTTCCCAGCCTCTGCTCCTGCTTCACTTCTTGTATCACCAAAGGAGGAAGCCCATGGACTTGCCTTTGTCTCTCCAACCCCATCTCCAACTTGCCTTCTGCATTTTTAGTAGTAGACCCTGACCCTTAGCCCTCACATTTCTTGCTTTTGCCAGTAGCAAAGGAGCTCAGGAGATCTTCTGACAGTCATAGATATAGGACACTACCCTACTATAAAAATAGGGTGGAAAGTATGTGGTGACATGGGAAGTACGGAGACCCGTGGAGGTGGGTGTATGAATATCCTACTCTATACTTCATCAGGTGAGTAAAGGATAGTAAAAGAGTTTTGGAAGACAATTTCAGGAGGACAAATTCCAGGGGTAGAAAAAGAGCAATGAAGATCAGGAGGAGCTTGTGTAAAAGACTGTCTTCTTCAGGGTCCTGAGGACACATCAAGGGTGAAGGTGACTAGAAGTAGGAGAATAAGAAACAGAAATCCTGGTATGCAGCATCCCAGACTCACTTTGCTCATCTGTCTTCACAACACCAGCATGTTGTGGTTAGGAGTCAGGTACACACGGGCTGTGACCAGTGGCCACACTGTGAACAGTGCAGTGAACACACTGCACTGAATCACAGCAACCTACAACCAGGGGGTGAAAGGTATATTGTGAGGCTACAAAGATAAAAAGGGCATAGATAGAATCAGGTAACACATCAGATTTATGGCTTGCCCTATTATCAGTAGAAATAACCTAGTATCAGTATTAATCCGTTTGTACACTGTATTGATTCAGCTGCGATGAACAGCAGAAAATATTTTATTGCTGGTTTTCAATTATTGTTGCTTTACCATTGATTATTTCTAGGTAATATATTTCAGCTTATATCTATGCTTCCAAGGAATTTATAGAAAATGCTCTCTGACCTAATGCTTGGCAGCTATTATTCATAATCCAATTTATTTATATGTACATAGTTTATGTATGTGGGGACACAGAAGCATGACAAAGTAGAACCTGACATTTCCAGGGAGATAATCTCTGTTCTTGCACAGTGAGTTTTTCAGTCATCTCAGTGGGAATTGCATCTGAAGACTGTAAAGTACTGGGCTTTCCCCTCCAGCACTGGTGAGATGACATCCGGAGTACTGTGTTCAGTGCTGGGCTTCTGAGGACAAGAGGGATATGGGCATACTGGAGTGGCTCCTGCAAAGTGCCACAGATGTGATTAATGTAGTGGAACATCTGTCCTACCAGGGGAAGCTGAGAGAGCTGTGAATGCTCAGCCTGGAGGAGAAAAGGCTCAGGGGGTTACAAGTACACATATCCATGCATATAAATACCTGATGGGAGGAGAGTGAATAAGGCAGGGAAGACTCCTAGGTGGCATCCAGTGACAAAACAAAGAGTACAAACTGAAATACAAGTTCCATTTGAAGATTAAAAAAAACTTTTTTTAATATGGCAGTGGTCTAACAGCAGAAGAGTGCCCAGATGGGTTTTGATGCCTCCATCACTGGATACACCCAAAATCCACAGTCCTGGAAAACAAACTGCAGCTGACCCTGCCTAAGCAAGAAGCTTGAACTAGATCTCCAGAGATCACTTCCAACCTCAGTGATTCTGTTACTCTAAGAAAAAAAAAGAACTCTTCTAAATCTAATTAAAATTGTGATTCTTTAATATTCAGGTGATCTGAGTTTTTTGGCTTTTTTCGTTTTGAAACCAGATGTTTCCAGTTCTCAAAAATTAAGAAAATGTATACTAATGGTTAAATCAGAGCTCAGAAATTTCTATTTCATTTTCCTCCAAAAAGAAAGAAAAAAACCCAAAAAAACCCAGAAAACCCCAAACCTTAAGAACTTAATTCTGCACTGTTGAAACATTTTTGACATTTTCAAAATTAAAACCTTTGATTCCATCATAGTTAAATATTTCAGTCTTTTCCATCCTGACCTGGAAGCTATTATTGTTATTTTTTTTCTGTTTGGTTTGTGTTTGTGTTTGGGTTTTTTTGTGGGGTTTTTTGGTGTTTTTGTTTTTTCACCGTACATTGGCACAGAACAGGAAATGGAAGAAGGATTGGACTCAGAGGATTATGAACTGAGACACTGAAAATGCTGCTGTAGTAGCACAGAAGCAGTGATGGACAGTTTGACAGAGAAAGGAGTGACTCAGGCAGTCAGTGTTCTGTAGTGTTCCCAGATGTGTTCTAAAGAACAAAAGATGAAGGTCTTTGTAACGCACACATTTAACTTGGAGGCTCCAGCCTGCGTGACTGAATTATTGAACTCATACCACAAAGTAGGAGTATAATTATGATTTGTAGTTAGTTGTTTTTTTTTTTTTTAAATCAAGCAAAAGGAATGCTTCGTCCATTGCCTATTGCTTCCACCAAACACTTACATGCTCAGCACTGAAGGGCTTTTTGCATTACTGCAGCTCATCCATGAAGCCTTTAGACTTGCATATGTAGAGTACTCTTGACAGACAGAATAATGTTATTCACCCTCTGGAGTCATAGCACCTAATAGGCACATTTAGAATAATTTGTTCTAGACCCAACACAGTACCTAAGTGACCTCCAATGCTGGAGAGTCCTTGCCAAACGCCATTATCCTAAGGAAATATTCAAATGCAAAACCAAACAAGCAATTACAAGAAGAATTTACTTTCAGAAGGTTTCTCTGAGCCAGTAATAAATGCCATTAATATCAGTGAATAACCACATCGGACAATAAGTGAAGGAAACAGCATATTATGGGACAATGCAATAAATTCAAAGCGGAGACCGCAGAAGTCATCATGCTTGTCCACTTCATCTGTTTGCAGGGAATGATGAAGAACAGGCTACAGTACCAATTTGGATCTTTATGTCAAGTAGTGTTTGTGCTAATGGCTCTGCGAATGATGCAAGAGAAGCAAACTGGGCTTCTTACGATTCGGAGAAGCGGTTAGGTTCGAGAGAGCTCATCTTTAGGTCACTATCTTGAGCCTGAAACTGCTGCATATTCCAATACTTTTTTTTTCAAACAACAGCCATATCTTTTGAAACTGTTCCACTTCACATAAAATATTTAATAACTCAACAGAACATGAGCTGAAACCCAGTTCCTTTGTGGACTGTCATAACCATTAGGTTATCATGTATTTTTCATTTATTTGAAGTATCCAGCCATTCTGTGCAAAGCAGATACATTTCTGGAACAGGAAACACCAAGAAGGAATCCTACTCTAATTCTTTTAAATACTGCCCTGTGACTTGAGCACTTGGATTCAAATCTCTGCAACACATTGGACAGAGGCATACAGGTAGCTCATGCTGCAGGTGAATGTTCTAGCAATAGGTTATTGATCATGAAGTCAAGCAGTATCTTTTGCTGCTTGGCTTCCTACGCAGACCAAATATGAGACTGATACTAACATCAAGACAGACAGACATTCACTTTATCAACTCTGCTGCAGCTGAGCCTCAGAACAGATTATGGTATCAGGTTTTGTTCACATTGTAGCTGGTTTTGTTCAGATTATGGCAGCAGATTATGACTGGTTTTGTTCAAATAATGTCAACATAAGGGAAAGGGAGGTATATATACCTCTATCTATATGGAGATATAGATACCTCTGATTTCCAGTAACAGGGAACCTGCCTCATGGAACTAAGTTGCTAGAAATGGCAGTTATGCATCTAAAAAGCCTTCACTGCATTTATTAAGAGGACCAAGACATGGGCTAGGATAGGCTAGGCTAGGCTAAGCAAGTGACTGGGTCTGTACTGCTGCATTTTTGCATGGTACCCAGTCTGGAGCAACCCAGCTAGACTGTGGAGATAGTGTGGAGCTGGAGTCACTCCCAAAATTCAGTTCTATGAAGCCAGCACAGGGGTTAGACGGTTTATTTCTATGGATACATGCCACCCCATGATGAATTCAGTTTCAGAAAATAGTCCTTGGCCCATTTTATTTGCTAGTACTAATGCAGCCTTGATAGATCAAGGCCTTTGACATTTATCAGTCAAAAAAGTTATTACTGTCATGGTGTAATGACACTACCACACTGCACTGCCACTCTTTTTCCCCATTCCATATTCACAGCACCTGGCAAGTAAATACTTAATATTTAACAGGAAGGTATTAGGAGTATTTAAAGAGAAAGATGGTGACTGATACTCAAGACTTGTTCAAGAAGATAATAGGAAGGAGGAAGAAGATAATAGGAAGAAGATAATAGAAATGAAGGAAGGAACATTTTCATCTGAATGCCAACAGACACTAGGATGACTTTCAGATCAAACTTGTAATACGTGGTCTTCCCCCGCCTAAAACATACCTTACATTGAAATGATGCACCAAGTGTTGGGAGTGCAATAAACAGAGACAGAGACTGATCTGGTTTCACTCATGTGAGATTCTGTTTAACAATTCAAGGAGGCTTAGTCACACTGTAAGCTGCACTTTATCGTATGATCACTCTCTGCAAGTGAGTCACTGACATGTACATGCTATTCACTGATTAAGTACAATGTGCATCCCTACAACATAACTTCCTTTGTGGCATGCTTTATTTGAATATTTTCTTATTCTAATACAATATTAGAAAATTACTCTAAATAACCTCTGTATTGTTATGGGTATTGTGCAAAATCATAGAGTCACAGAATGGCCTGGTTTGGAAGGGACCTTAAGGATCATCTGGTTCCAACCCCACTGACATGGGCAGGGATACCTTCCACTAGAACAGTTTTCACAAAGCCTCATCCAACCTGGCCTTGAACACTGCCAGGGAGGGGGTAGATCAACTCCTCAGAATTATGGAAAACAAGATTGGAATCTTTTTCCAGGTGCATGCTGGTTTTGTTTGACAGGATCCCCACAAGAGCATATTTCTGATGAATTCAAGGTTCTTGAGTTGGTTCAGATTCTGAATTTGTTCATAGTCCAGAAATTTCATTTATTACCTTATTGAAGAGTCAGTGTGACTTTTAGTAGTGCAGTATTAACCACTGTCTAGGATTTCAGAAAATATCTGACTTACTGTAATTTTCTCTTCGTAATCTCACTGACTTCATTCAGTCACCACAGCAATATTATTACAAACTATGAATATGCAACCACTCAGCAATTCAGAATAAAGCTGTGCACACCATAAAGAATTACCTGAAATGTTGCAGACATCTTCAACAACATTCCAGACACTCTCACATCCATTTGCAGCATTTATACACTGCTCCCTCAGGCGAAGACAGTCAGTAGTCTGGGCAGTAGATACACTTGTAAAGTACATGAACAGCACTGAAAAAACAGAATATAATAACTATTTAATACAGTACATATTGCACTGAGATTGTTGCTTTACACTATTATAACAATCTAATTTACTGTAGTTTATCTATAGATTCAAGTGTTCTACCAAGTTACTTCTTAACAGAATGAATGTTTTCTCAGTTTCACAAATGTAAAATTAAATTTAAATTTTAAATGTTCAAAGTTGTGGTGTGGCATATTTTGTATTGGTTTTACCCTGGTGTTATAGCAACAACATATATATAAGACATCAGCCCATAGATATATAGAAATAACTGAAGTTCTGAGATTCATAATAAATTATAGAAAGGAAGATAGCATAAAATTCAAAGGAAACAGCATTTTATTTGGACTGCAATTTTTTCAAGCTAGAGACTACACAGGAATTCCTATGAATAGATCAAATGAAAGAAATTTGACAGCTACACAATTGTCAGATAACAGAGGTTTTATTTCATAGTGCAGTACTTTTCAGCCTCTTTGATTTCACTTCACAGATGCACCATTTCTTGATAGCAACCCCCACATTTATGTCTTTATCTGTTTCTCTGGGTGCAATGAACCAAAAGGCTGTGTTAATTGCATTGAAAACCTCCAAAACAGAAGACTGACATGGAGATTTCAAGGTAAAGAATTTTAAATCAGCACCACCTCTGGCTTATCAGTAGAAAATTTAATTGCCTTGCTAAGAAAAGACAGATTAGTTGGGGTTTAGCTCTTTCATCAACACTGCCATGGTAACACAATCTCTAATTTGTAACCATGTGTCTTAATTTTCCATAAAATTAAGTTTCAGACACTGATTTCAGGCCTCATGAAACTAGCTGCTGAACTCCTGATGGGTATGCTCGCTTAGGTATTGAAGGACACAGGATCTTCAGACCAAGTCTCCTTTTTTTTTTTTTCCTTATGTTCAGGTAAGTTTATATGGAATTTGAGGAATATCCAGCACTGTTTAATTCCTTAAACATCATCTGCAAGAGGCATGAAATATTCCCCCCGAACTCGTCCAGACCCTATCCAGAGAAATTAAATGTTTCCAATGATACATTTGAGAAATAAGAAATTACATATCAAATATTGCTTTTCATAACCTTAAATAGCCACTACTCTTTAGAGGTGCTGCCATCCATTCTGGAAATGTGATACACTACCTGTGATACAATAGTGCTGCTGTAGGGAACACTTTCTGGCTGCACACTTCTAAAGATGAAGCAACATTTAATACTTTATAACTGACACAGTATCTCGTGTGCCTATCAGACACACAAGAGGCCATGTATGCTTACTGTAGCTGATGCTAATCCTTCCTCAGTTGTGCATTTTTCTGCCAGTCCTCAGGTTTATTCAGGGTTGGTTGTTGTTTCAGTGATTTCCAGCCTGAAACACTGTCCTAGGGCGCATCTGTCAGTCAGCCTGAGAGACTGATCCATAGAAACAGCTCCTGTCACTTGACATTGAGGACTGTGCAGCTGGCGTATCCATAGGGACAATTTTTGGCTCACTTTGACAACATTTCAGTCCCGTCACTGTCTCCAAAAGTTCTTTCTACTTGTGAAATTACCGTTTATTTGAATGATAAAGAAAAAAAGTTGCTAAATACCTTGTGGGTGAAAAGGCAATACAAAATTAAAATTCAGGAAGATTTAAGGGATTTTGCTGGTTAACAATCTGCCAATTTTGTAGGTACTAGCACAATGGAAGATGTGGTTAGGATCCACAGCACAAAGATTCTGTGGTGTCTCCCTCCTTTCAAGACAGCTTTTGGGAAACAGTGGCTGAAAATGAATAGTCAAAGTAGGACTGGCTGAGCAGTCAGTGAGCACCTGATGCTCCTTTGTGAGGATTATTTCAGACTCTGTTTATTTCAACCCCCCCTGGAAACTGCTCACAAAAAGGAGCAGATGCTTTTGCAAAATAAAGGGCCAAGTGGCAGAATCGGTGACTGAAGCTGGCTTCTCTAGACCTAATAACATGTTATGGGTGGGCATCAAAGAACTAGTTTGTAACAGAACTTTTAGAGACATCTGTTTTGACACAAAAACACATAAATTTAGATTTCTACAGGTGTCTGTGTTTCTGTAGAGGTGCCAATTGATTCACTGGATAGGTGTAAAATTCTCCATCCTGAAAAATGTCTAAAGTGAAAAGAGGGAAAAAAGGACATTTTAGCCATTTAATTTTGCAGATTGGGAACTGAAAAATGGAGGGATTACAGTTTCTCTCTCATGAGTGCAGAATTATTATCTGGCAGATAATAATGAATAATGGGAACCAAGCTGTGGTTTCTACCCAATGGCGAGAGCTGCAAGATAGCTAGCTTTGAAAGAGAAAGGTAAACTGTAGTTGAATGAAGTTTGAACAGAGTTGAAAAGCGAAAACGGACAGCTTTATTCTAACAATGCTTAAAGGATGTTTTTAACAGAGGAATATGAGTTTATAGTAGCAGAGTGTTAAAAAGAGAAGCAGCACACATACCATGTATAGAGGGGAAAGTGTACGAAAATAAATTGAAATATACTTGTCTGGTTGTATTCTTTTCCATCAAACCCTTCTGCACGAGCTTTATTCATTTTCCCTTTTTCTCCATTCAGACCCAAAGGGACATGCCAGGAGCCCTCTGTTAAGTGGTGCTAGCACTAAACGCTTTCCACTTGTCAAACAAGTGGCTGTTATTTAAAGCAAGAATCCCATTTGTGGGTCTCCTCAGCAGTTCAACTTCTCACTGCCTGCCCTCCTCCCCTGCTGTCCCTCCCGCTTCAGGCACGCTGCCCAGAGCCAGACTGAAGATCTGCACCCAGCCGCGGGGCCCGGACGTCGCACACTGGTGTGAACCCCCGACAGGCACCTGCTCAACTCCGCCTTGAGGCTCCCGAGGGGAAAGGGGAATGGATGGAGCTGTAAGGAGAGCGGAGGGCGAACTAAGTCTCCTGGCGAGGCCAGGGCTGCAGTGTCTCCCCCCCCCCCCCCGCCTCCCGCGGCACTTACCTAGGCAGAGGAGCGTGGCAGTGGCCATGGCCAGCCGCGGCGGCTGCAGCTCCGCGCTGGGCAGCTGGCAGCAGGTGCCGGTGCGGCACCACCCCTTCAGCACCCGCAGCAGGGACAGCGCCCCGCCCGCCGGCCCGGCTGCGTCCCCACGGGGGCCCGCCGCGGTAGGAGCCGGGCCACAGGCTGCCAGCCTCCGGGGGTCGATACCGCATCTGTCTCTGCACACCTCTTTCTGTCAGGAACCGTGGATGAAGCCACCTCCCACCGCCCAGAGCTTCCCTCGCTGCCATCCCTGCACCCTTTGCTAATATTTTCCCTGTTGCCTCAAACGCTAAGCTGGACCACGTGCAGATAAGACCTGGCTCTTTGGCATTTCTTACAGTGTCTGGTTCTCCCTTTGCATTCAGCTCCCACTTGGTTTCTGGAGAAACTAACAAAGCAAGTCTTTGGCTGCTGCCTGTAATCTCTCCATAAAATGCCTTTTGCTATGTCTGTAGATCTTCTGCAAATATTTCTTAATGCATTTGAGAAGGGAATTTGTTTTCATTTCAGATGTGGAGTAGGATCGTGATCTGTTAAGGAGAGAAAGGAACTATAGAGCATGATGGACAGCAGACCAGAGGAACAAATAACTAGTCTACAATCTAGACCCATACTGTACTATGGGTTTAACTTCAGGAGTTTCAGTAAAATACACCAAAACCAGTTTGCCACACAAAAGTCAGCACCTGACTTGGGTACTAAATAAAAACTAAACTATAAAGCATACTATTATATGCCTGCTGACCTTGCTGGACACTCTCTGCTTTGCACCAGAAGGACAAGGAAATAACAGATCCCTATTGCCTAATCCATGCTACTCCTTAATTTTATTTTCACAAATTGCTTATCCCATGCACAACATTTTAATTGGATTGGTCCTTGAATACTTAAAACATAAAGATCACATAAAATTTACGGTGTAGTTAGCAGAAATAGAGATGTAGTGGGTGAAATCCTGTTCTTCTTGGTATTTTTTTGCTTAATTTTGGTTGCCTCAGCAAAATTCAGTCTTGAATATTTTTTTTATATTTTTATTTTTAACTCACAGTTTTATTTAGTTAATTTATTCTATTATTTAATTAAACTCTTAATGCCAGCATTGCAAATATGTGTCTTTTTTTTTCCCAAAAGTATGTTAAAAAAAAAAAAAAAGACTAATCCAATATATCCAACAGGCAGAGAAAAAACTTATTGTCATGTAAAAGGAATAGCTTGTGAGATGTATATAATTTTAACCGTGAGATGAATTTTAGGTTTTAAGGCTAAATTTGCCTTGGCCTAAATCTACTGCAACATGCAATGAATCTTAGAGTGACGGATGAGTTAATATTTAGTGTCCTCCCCTTCCTATAAAGCACTCTCCAGGTTAATGACATGCACCAATTTTGCTAATATGTGAGAATGAGATAGTGCCCTCTATGGAGCTGAGATGAAAAAGGGCAAAAAATGCCTTTTTTGAGATGGAGAGGGGAGAAATTGTCTTGCAGTCATTGTGACTGCAGGGTACGAGTTTATCTCGTTACTGTTACTACAGTGACAACAGGAAAGGAGAAAGAGGTCAGGATATCAGACCTCCAAGTCTGTGATATATGTTGAGAGACAAAACACCAGAATGATGGTGGCACAACAATTTGTATCTGTTGGAAGAGATATAAAAAAATATTTTGTGATTGTCTAATAATGCTACAACCAAGCAGAATCACACTTTCTACCTATCCTTAGAATTTCAAACCTTAGATAAACTCTGATAGTATCAGTTTTGTCGGAAAGATGAGCTATTTACTAAAGAAGAGCCTGGCCAGAATAAAGCCCAGAATAATTTGTCAATGAATGTTTCATATTTTATTCACATTCTCCACACAAGCAGTACTGTTAAGTTAGCTATAGCTAAAAAATCTTCCTAGGAATTTTGGAATATTTTACGTTTGGAGATCTAAGTGAAAATAACAAAGA